TATGATTATTATTATAATTTTATTCGATAATATTTAAATTTGTAGACAATTAAATCATTAACTGCTCAGCAGTTGGTTCGTCAGCCCGGGATTTCACGTGGATAGCAGTGGGAAATGACTCGTGTGGCAATCTAACTGCAGTCAGGTGACGGGCATTCCTGAAGGACTATAAATGAGCAGATCACGCCGTGCACTAGCAGTCTGCGGCTAGGCTCGGTAAGGTCATAGGTTCCCTTTCTCGGCTGCTGCCGTGTCAGCGACGCTGAGAAAAGCCGAAGGTTTCTTTTTCTTCCTCGGCTGCGTCTTACTGGCCAAACGGGATCGGTCGGGATAAAATAGGGTTGTTCGAGTAGCAATGCATCCGTTTGCGTTAGGAAACCATGTGAGATCGAGGTCTCGATTGCATGAGGAATAAGGAGAAAACGGCAGACTAATGAGAGACGGAAATCTCTCCCGGTGTATTGAAGCCAGAGTTCTCTCCCTGAGAGATCCAGCAGCAGGGGAGTTTGTGGGCTCTGCGGTTCTTTATAAAAACGCCTTCAGTAAAGAAAGCAATTCTGGTAGCTTTCCTCTTGACTGATCGAGTCGGGCATGTTGTGATTTGCCGTTCCCGAGCTCAGAGGATGAAAGGAAGGATTCCTCAATTTCTTTAGGGTTTCTAAGCTGTTAAGCATAGAAAAGCTACTGTCATCTTATAATGTAACGACGCTTGAATCGGTCTTCAATCTCGACCAGCGTTTGAATGCGGATGTCCAACAAGACGAGCTTGATCTACCCTCATTATAGGGGGTATCGCTGGTCGTAGAAAGCTTGTGTTTTGGTGTAGAATTAAACGATTTGAGTCGTTTGGAGTAAAGTGCAATACACTTGAGAATACCAGCTTGAATGCTGTAGGTTAATTCACCTCAAACATGATCTTGTCAATTCAACTTTATTTGTCATACTTACACGGGTGCATGGTATAGTGAAAAGTCTTTCTCATTTGTCACTTGGGTGCAGTTTATAAATAGAACAGATTACAAGACAATAGTAACACAATAATAGTGTAATAACATAACTGTGCAAATATGCAAACAGAAAAAA